TGTGTATCTGAGTCTGTGTGTATGCGTCATTGTATACATTTGAATATGTGTGTCAGTGTGTGTATCTGGGTGTCCACATCCCTGAAATGCATTTTTGCATGGTGGGATGTCTGCATACCTCATTTGCAGTGCAAGACCATCTTGATAGCTGGAGAGCCCAATGTCAGAGAGAGTATCTGAAGATACAGAAGCAGGAGATGAAGATCTGTCCTTGTCTTCTAGAATGTCCACTTTAACCATTGAACTAAATTCATCCTCTGAGTTGTCCTCTGACACTGAACCAATAATGAACCGAGAATGCTGATTTAAGTCAAGCACCTTTGGATGTGATGTTGACTCCTCCATTCCTGCTTGGACGACACCTCTATAAGTACAAACCAGAAGAAAATAGGATTATTTAACAATGTTTTTATCTCACGCCCCGTGCCTATACTTTGAACAGCATGAAGTGAAGGTTGTATAATTCAACACCCAATGAGAGGTGGTCCCCAGGTGTCCAAGTCTATTTTGCAAGCAAAGCACTTCAGTACAATTTCCTACAGACCTTATGTAAGTTGTGTAACTGTTTTTGTGTATTTATTTAATTTATTTATTTTTTTGCTTGAACCAGGAATCTATAAAAATTACCTGTACTCAATTTGTCGCACTGGCTATTTACATTACTGTAGTTATACATGCATGTTGGGTTTGGTCAAAATGTTCAGTGCAGACAGGTGTAGGTCATGTTTAGGTTTTGAAACCAGGTATAAAGCCAGTTAATGCCAATTTGTACCTGGTTTTAATAGTAGAAATACTGAATGAGATGATTAGCTATAATCAAGCAATTTTGCTCCTTTAAGTAAGAATATAGGTAAAGAAGCCGGATAGAATCCAACAGTGTGGTATTATCTGAGTAACACACCCCCATCTGATGACCTATGGTTGTAACCTGTAAAAAGTAGTAGGATGAATTACATATGTTAAAATGGGAAATATTGTCAAAGATTGTCTATTTTTGGGGGGGATGGGGATTACATAAATTAGTTCATTAAAATTATACTAACACAATTAAAATTTACCTTTTAAAGATCTTAATGTGATTTTTCACTGAAGTCTGCATTAGCTAAAATAATCCAGGAGCATAAATATATACATTGTTTACAATATTTATCAGTGTCTAGATTCTGCAGTACAGTTTCTACAAGAACTTAACTCCATACCCTTCTAAAATTTGTGGCCTTTAACATCGTTAGGACAGCATGGAACATCCTTTCATTTTGGTGTAAGTAGGTTAAATCAATTAATCACCCTGCACCAGACCCTGATTGTTAATTTCCACGCTGTGACTCCTACCATCATCAGGCATAAAGGGGTCTGGATGCCCAAGTGAAATGGAACAAGACACCTTCCGAGATTCTCTTGGTGTGCAGGTTTTATCTTTGACTCTGCTTACTGGGACCAGGTAGGCTTTGGACCCTATGGTTTCCAGATTTTTTACAACTGTAAGAAAAGTCCAACCTCCTATAAAATCCCTTTCATCACCCTGGGATCTTCCATTGGTCTCTCCATGGTTCCTTTTGAACCATTAGAGTAATCATAAGATCTTTTTCTTAACTTTCAGTGCATTTTGTTGGTGGCAGTGACTGTAGGTAAGCGTGTTTCCGGAATTGAGGACTTATTGTCAGAAAAGCCATTTACTGTCTTTTATCTGGATAGGGTGGTGTAATGGAACTCCAGTACTCCGGCTAAGTACCTCCGCTAAAAGTTCCATCTCGCTGGAGAAGACAGGGCTGAAGTGATAGAGCCCTTTCCTCAAACACTAAACAACACTTAGTGAAGGGTAAAACACACACATTAATTGTCACAAAGCATACATATTTTTGGGACAATAACAAGAGGGGGGGTCATCAACTGGGACAATAGGTTTCCTCCCTCACACCCAAAATTCCAACAGCAAATCTGGAACCCTGTGTTTCCATCCCAGGATAGTTCCTGTCACAGGTGGTGCTTCACACAGTTCCGTCCTTACGTCATCTCTAATTTATGATGAAATTATTTTGCCATCCATTTTTTCAGTGTTCATCTTATCCAGATGAAGAATGGTGGCATACTTTGGAAGTAACTAGATGTCTCTCCATTTACCTATCGAAAACAGCTGAATGGAGGTAGTCATCCAGACTCATCATATTTCAGGTCAAAGCAGAGGTTTAGCTGCATCGATTTCCTCCCTGGGCATGGGTCAATACACTTATTAGGCACAATGCATTCAATATGCATGCAATGGAATCCTTTAAATTTGAGAGGGATAATTTGTCCTTGGTCTCTTTGAGTAAATAAACTACTTTCTATTGGCATTTTGTTAATTTGATTGTGCCTTTCACTTACTTAAGTCCCTTCCTTCCTTTAGCTTCGGTATTAGCCAAATATTATGGTGGCATTGATTAGATTGAAATATATAAAATGTCTTCATACTCACCATAATTTTCTTTTTCTGGATACATCCATGGCAGCATCAATTCCACCCCTGTATTTACTGTCCTAAAAAGCCAAGAGGGAGGAGCTAAACATATAGCTGCCTATAATTTGCTATTTATTTTTTTAAATCACTGCAATCTAGTGTTTAGTGAATAAGAAGAACAGTCTGCATGATTTCTTTGTTATTTGTATTACAATTACCTATGTAACCAGTGGCATTGTTAGGAGGGTGGGCCCTTACATTATACCGAGTCCCTTTAATTTAAACGCTGTCGCCCTTGCGGTGCCTGTTCCTTTTGCTATTGGTGGATTCGCAAAGCAAAATCAGTGCTCCCTGGCTGCACTAAATACACCAATTAATTGGCGCCACATGCTAGGGATGAGGGGGTTGTATGTAAAAGTGCCCCAGGTGCCATAAAGGGAGCGTTGCTGCCACTAGAACCGGATGCCCATAATGTCTGGCTTTGATCTGGAACTCCTCCTTGAGCCAGCAGGGAGTTTAAAAGCGCGGTTCTGGCGCTCTATGAGGAGTCAGCCTGCTCTTTGACATCATCACAGAGCACCAGAAACCAGAACTGTGAGGGAATGTGGTACCAGCTGCACACTGGACCACCAGGGAAACCACCAGCAGCCCACCAGACCATCAGGGACCCACTGGACCACATATTGTCCACCTGCCTGGACATGAGGTATGCAGGAGAGTGGCAAATGAAATATGTATGTATGTATATATATACTGTATAGAGAGAGAGATTTTATAATTGCCCCCTACTTTTGGCCCTGACCCCCCATGTCACTGTATGTAATGTACAGATAACTGAAAACTGAACTATTTGACTGGAATGAGAATTCAGATACTTATGTTGTACTGTATGGAAGAGATACATTCAATTGAAAACTGTAAAAAGGCACATGATGCACTTTAGATTATCAAGTGTACATGTGGGCTAACAGAGGAAAGTGTAGTTAACAAACATCTGTAACGACAAGGCTGTCACTTTTACACATGGTATTAACATTGATCTATCTATATAGCTGGCCACCTCACACATCGTATCATATGAAGTACAACCTCAAGTTCTCCCAGTACTGAATGAGTAATCCAGGAAGTTATACACACACATACACGCGTTTGGAGTTATGATGCTAACAACATGTGCTCCTATGAAATCCAGTTGATCTATAACGTTACCAACACTGTTACACACCAGTTCTTTTTGTTAAAGCATGTTTTCCCTACTTGATTATATTTCATTTCAGCCCTATTGTTATGCTAACTACTTCAGTTGTGATTGATTTAAGTACCTCCGACCGATCAGGATCTGTTTCCAAGTAGAACACAACAAACCCTAAACAGAATACTCCTATTCCATACCAGAACACAACAGAAGAGATCTCAGCACATCAAGATTCCAGAGTCTGTCAGGCACTCATGGATCATATTGCAGAGATACCCAAGTTATACACCAGAGGAAAACAATATAAAAATAACTCACAATGTTTGTTTTCGCTGTATGTATCAAAGCATGCACTGACAGTGAGATCATTGCTATAGTGATCATTGATTCGAATTGTCACTAGGCAATTTATTACATTAAGCAAGGACTGTAAATAATAAAAAAAAAATGATCTGGACAATGACAGTTTATTTACTAATTAAAAATTGTAGGAAATTAATATGTAACTCACCAAAAAATAAATAATTTCTGTCTCAAATAGCCAAACTATGACTATAGCTGAATTGGTGGTATTGTTTTTTTTCTAGATCAGCTCTCTATGCCTCAATTTCTGCAATATTAATTTTAATTCTCTGCAATAGAGAGTTTAGTAAATAAACCCCTCCACATTGTACCCGCACAGGCAGAGCTGTCAGTGTCCTGTCACTAAGCCCTCTGGGTGTACTGTCACACTGCTCACCTGATGATTATAGAGCAGTAGATGTCACCGGAGTCAGCTGGGAAATTAATGAATGAAATGAGGCCCTCAGAAGAGGATGCTCGCCAATATCTCCATACAGGTTCACAGGCTTAGCCCAGCCTCCCGTAATACCCCGCCTCCCCCCCCAGCAGCAGAGAAGTGGTGTGATCAAGGTTACCTCGGTGCATTCACCTCCGAACCCAACCCCAGGAACCGGCGAGATCGAGCGCGGCGATTGGCTGGAGAGCGTGTTGTGGAGTAGTGGGCGCAACCAATAAGAGGCGGCGGGGGGTGTCGCTGAGCAGGATGGTCCGAGCAGTGTAATGCCTATCTGCCAGTAGTTGCTCAGAGAGGAGGAGGGCGCTGGCTGTGTGGCTGGGATTGCTATAGCAATGACATACATCCCATCGGATGAGCCTCCCATCAGGGCTGCTGCTCACTCACAGAACCGGTCGGGCAGAAAGGTTACTGTAGTTCATGTCTTGCCCTCCCACATTATACATATTTCTCCCATATATTGCATATATTGTATGGGTGGCCTATGGGAAGCCTTCTCTGAGTGTCCCCACTCTGTCCCAGTCAGGGGTAGGGGTACAGATAGTATAAGTAGTGTTGGTACTAGGACTGCTGCCATCCTGGGGGGGAAAAGAGAATTTATTGTATTCTTTTTGTAGCCATGGATTCTGGAGGCCTTGTTTACTTCCTTACACTTTATGGGGAGATGATGGGAGCTGAAACTACTCAAACTGATGGGTCCTTTCCTTGCAAGCCCTGTTTGATGTTGATGTCTCTTCTTTAGTGACCAAAACTTTTATATAAAGTTTGATATTAGATTCAGATCCATGGCTAAACTGTGAAAGAGCTGTGTGGTTTTTTTTTTTTTGCTGTTTGTTTGGTTTTTTTTTTTTGGTTTTTTTTTAAACCAATCACACTTTTTAAATTAAACTGGGCATAATCAGATGGGTTCAAAATGCACAAGACAAACTTGGAGAGCTCAGTTGCAATTCACACATTTATACTGACAGATAAGATGCAATGACTAAATGCAATGACCATATTTCATCTTACATTTACCATGTGTTCAGATTTGCCATTGCATGCCACTATTCATAGCGTATGCTTTTAAAGATTGTTTTGCCACATTTCATTCCTCATGCCATTTAACCTTATTGGCATATAAATTCCACTGTAACTTGTGGGGTCTATGCATTGTTTTGTAAAGATTCCCTAAGGCAACCTGCTAGTTTTCAGATGGTGCCCTGAGCAAAAGGGACCATTATGAATCACTCTTTCCTTGGCGAGCTGATGTTTGCCGTTTGCTCCCAGGACCTTGAGTCACTGTTGTATTCTCACACATGCACAGGAGTACATGTACTACGGGATCCTCCATAGACGAACTTCTTCGTGCACAATTAGATTCCTGTTTGCAGTGACAGCAGGCGCTACTTGAAGATGTACGCATTGCAACACTTTGCAAAAAATGACACTTATAAAAGAAAATGTAAAATATTGAACCACTGAATGTCCACAGTCGATTGTGCCTGCTACTGGGCTTTGCCAGCTTCCCAGCACTGATCATGGTGTGCCATGCATAATCACATTGAATGTAATTATGAATACAGCCAGTAGATGGCGGTCACAGACCACTATCTACTGTTTTAACTAGGAACCTATTTTTTAATACCAGAATTGATATTTGCAGAGAGTTTCCTTAGGGTTGGGGTTAGTGGAGGGGTTAGGGTTATTGGTTAGAGTAGAGTTAGTGTACGGTAAATGTTTTAAGGCTGAGTTTAGCACTGGGGTAGTATAAGGGGTAAGGTTAGTCTAGGTACATGTTGGTGTAATCATTGGGTAAGGGGTATGGTTGGTATGGCCTAAGTGTGACAGTTGGTATAGGGTTAGAGTTAACTATCAACAAATTATGTAGATCCTAGACATATTAGGCCGTTAACAAGACTGATATATAAACCTATTTTGAGCTATTTTTGTTTGGTTGCTCCGGATGTGTAAAAATGATAAACAAAAGTGTGAAAAGTTTGTATTTGTTCCCATTTTTAAAATTGTATTCATAGGTAATTTTGTGTTAGGAATACATATAGGATATTAAATGAAAGCCTTATCTGTCCTTTATATAACAATATATTATATAATATGTAGGTACTTGAAGAGAAACCCTTAAAGAAAAACTATAGTGTTAGGAATTGTCACGTATTCATCCGCGTATAGAAATGTGGTTAATGACATTTACTGTCCACACAGGAAAAGTTGTGCTGAGCAGCAACCTAATCCACAGAAGGGTTAATGCTGAGCAGCAATTATGCCAATTAAACCTGGTGTCACATATTCATCCGCTTATAGAAATGTGGTTAATGACATTTACTGTCCACACAGGAAAAGTTGTGCTGAGCAGCAACCTAATCCACAGAAGGGTTAATGCTGAGCAGCAATTATGCAAATGAAACCTGGTAACTGACTTTGGGGTCAAAGGCCGGTTACAGCCTATCAGAACTAAAGTAGGGGTATTTAGGCCCAGTTCTCATCCTGCTCAGTGCCCTGTCGTGGTTTCCCTTGTGGTTGTCCGAGAGCGCGTTCCTGTTATTAGTTTTCTACCTGGTTTTTGACTTTGGCTTTGTTTATTGACTTCTCTGTAGTCTGGTATCCTGATTCCTGGCTTTCCTCATCGCTGCGTCCCTTTCTGTGTTCCCTGACCTCGGCTAGTATTTTTGACTATTCTATGTACGTTAAATCTGGCCATTCTAAGGACCGGTAATACGTTACTTATTTGTCATCCGTGCTATACAGTTCTACGTGCTGGATCAAACAGTAATCCTGATAGGAATACAACATTGTTTTGAATATTTTTATTGTTATCACAACATAAACGCTGATATCATACATATTATTAAATCAAGTAGTCACCTACGCAGAGGTGTGTATATCGGTACATGGAAATATATGCAGATATTCACCTGCGCAGAGGCGTGTATATCAGATCATGTGCATAGTAATAAACTGTCTTCTGTTTCGTTGAGTGCGTTTCGTAAAATATAAACTTATCGTGCTCTGTTATAAGCCTACGTTGCCTACGCAGAGGCCTATTATGTCAGTAGTGTCATCATAACAGAATAACAAAATGGCGCCATCTGGTTGTAAAACCTATATACTGCGATAATCTATATGATTGCACCCGGGTAGAGCCTATAATTATATAAATCCACCATCATTAATTGAAGCCTACAGATAATCTGATGGCGGCATGCGTCAACGAGGTGGCATGTTAAGAGACTGGCATTGCAGTCCGTATCTGTGTATGTTGACAGGTCTTAACCATATAATTCTGTTAGGGAAGCAGTAATACATAACATTAACCTTAAGCCCAATGGGGCAATGTGACTGAACAACATGGTCGTTTTTTATACTGAATTCATAATCGTAAGTACATCAATTTTGGCATGTGTCGCCATTCTTAACAGCTGAATATCTATTCCATGTGTACATGCTGCGTGCGTTCAAGCCTTATATTTATATAATGCATTAAGTAAAGAAAGCATAGTCATGTCATTATAAACCATAAATACATCGACTTCTGCCTGGGCAATGGCCTGCTATGCTCAACTTTTGGGTATCTATTCTGTGTGTGCTGGCTGCAAATGTTAGGGCCATATAATTACATGTTGCGTTGATTAAAGAAAGCTTAAACATGACACATTTATGTTAAGTATAAATGAGAAAGGTAACAGAGCAACCAGACATTCAAGAAATTAGAATTGGGAGCCATGTAACAGCGCCTAATTTAGCCTTAGCAGGTAGGGCAGCTGTATTCTTATTAGGTTTAAAATAGGTATTTAACATATGCAATAAAAAATAAATACAGAAATGAAAAGGCAGGCTTTTTATATTGCATTCAGCCATTCTGATATTGTTAATGGCAGGCAGTTTGCAGCTGCGTTTATGTGCAGCTAAGGGTAACGCTACTTCTTAATCATACTTTATGGGCTTTTAGCTACGCAGTAGTATAATATTTATTCTCCTGATTGTGGCAGCTGGATTTGGTCCAGCAGGTTAACGGCCAGTCACTAGCCTAAAGCGATGTTCGCTTAGAAAGTGACCAACCAAGACGAACTGTAACAAGGCTCAAAGGTACACCTCGCAACGTCTAGTATAATTATAGTAACTATAACAGTATAGGAGCAGGACTGTTCGTAGAGTCAGTCCGATAAGGGCCACCCATGGCTTGGCCGAGTCTCCGTCCGTCTCCCCCGGGATGGTCCCAGCCCAGCACCTGAGTCCTCCGTGATGCTGTGGGCACTCGGGGACAGAAATGATCCGCTGGGCCCCCACACCTAGGGTCCGTGGGTCTCCCGCTCCCTGCATCTCCCCATCACCGCCCAAGACCCAGTGGAGATTGTGTCCCATTGTCTCTCCCGGTGCTGGACTCACACCAGTCCGCCGGGAGGGCCGCTCTGACCCACCCCACAGGGCTCTCAGCTTCAGGGACATGGCTCTCTGGGGACCTCCCAGACCCAGAGGCCCAGACACTCACTTTTCCTGCGGGTCGGCAGGCATCGCGGGGGGTCCGTCAGGGGCCCAGCAACACCGGGATCCGCCCCTGCCATCCAGGTCGTCTCCCCTCGGTGAATTGTCTCCTTTGGTGTCTCTGCACTCCTCTTTCAGTGAGGCCTTTGAGGATAAGCCATGTCAGTAGTATGGTGCGGCTGCGTCAAATCCTCAACCTCCTGAGCTTCTGTGTCAGCTTGAGTCTTCTCTGTCCCTGCCAAGGTGTTTTCACCGTTTAGAGTATTTCTCCTCGGTGTTGGTGTCCAGTACAGCTGGCTGGCCGTCTCTTTGCCATTGCCAGTCTAGGTAGTCGGCATGGTGTCCACGCGGGGGCTCTCGCTGTGAGACCTGTCGCCACCATGTAGCCGGGATATTCCCCGCCGGCCCGGGGGGAGACGGGGCTGTGCCCCGGGCCAGGAGTCTCCCCTCGCCAAGAAAGCTTGTCTCGCAGCGGGTTGGCTCTGTGTTGCACCAGTTTATGGCAATGGCGGCCGGTGCTCCAAGGCCGCGTGTAGGCCGGACCCACTCCTCTCTGCCCGCCCCGCGGTCAGCTTCGTGCGGGTATCGGGTGGGAGTCGGAGCTTTCCCCCTTTTTAGATGCGGCAGGTTTTGCTTGTATGAGCGGGTTTGGGTTATGTTTGGTGCGGTTTCTAGCGTTTTGTTGCTGGAGCCCATGTGGATGGCGTCCAGTCGGCCCGGCCCCGCCCCCAGGAATACAACATTGCACTCCTAACACCATAGTGTCCCTATGCCCCCCTCTATCCTTCAACCCCCCAGCAGCAAATAAAGGTTTAAGAAACTGTTTTACAGTTACCTTATTTCTGCATCTGTGTCCCTTAGCACTGTGTCATGCTCTTCCTCCTCCAATATCAGCTGATGGAGGGAACCTACTGCGCATGTGTGGCAAGAGTCATGCTCACATTAGGCCTTCCCAATATGAAAGCATTGAACCAGTGTTTTCCTACAGGGATTTAGAAGTCAAACTCCAAGAGAGGATAGGAAGCACCTCTAGTGGCTGTCTGGTAGATAGACACTAGAGACAGGTTAAAACCTGCATGTGAACATTAAAAATTCTCTTATTTAAAATGACAGGGACATTGTACCTAGACCACTTCAATGACATTAAGTGGTGTGAGTGCCTAAAATGTCCCTTCAAATTATGGTGGTACAAAACTAGAGCTCAAATTCAAGGTTTTGTTAAGGTTCAGAACTTGGACAATTGCCTATGTCCTTAACGGGTTAACAACTAATTTGTTTGTGCGACATATCACAAAATACAAAATAGAGCAACAGGAAGACAGCACTGCCTTAGCTACTTGAGCTCTTTTTTTTCAACCCTTTATTTTCCCTGAATTCAGATTTAGAAAAGTGTCCACTGCCAAGATAAGTGAGCATCGACAGTATCTCAAAACTATTCTCTTTATCATATTCCTAAATGATCTAAGCTTGTCCTGCAAGACTTCTACTGTTTGATTGCAATGACACCATAGTCTAGACTAGGGCTGTTTAGCTTTAGGTAATCCGAGGGCCGCATTAAAAAACAAGATTTATCTAATGTTTGCATGCAAAGTTATAAATTCATAAAATACTTTATAGTATTTGATAATAAAAATCATACTTTATTTTTTTTTTTTTTTTTTAATGAATAAATACTTTTAGGAAAAAAATTACTGGTGAAAAATGAAAGCATGTTTCATGTGTGTGTTTGAATGTATGTATTTGTGTGTAGTACTGGCATTTTAAAAGCAGTTGTATGATTGTATGTACTGTTGCTATTTGAAAGCAGTGGTGTACTAGTGTTTAAATGTATTTGTAGTTGGCGTTTGATTGCTGGGATGTATGCACATACACTGCCCCGCACATACACACTGACACGCATGCACACAGATACACACTGATACATATACACACTGATTCATACACCCCCTTACGCACACTGACTCATGCACGCAGATACATACACACACTGACGCACACAGATACGCACTGATTCACACACACACACAGAGACATACTAACTCATATACACACAGATACACACACTGACACATAGATTCACACTGACTTATATGCACAGATACACAGATACACTCTTTTAGCGACCTCTGCCTCCATATCTTTTTGATGAATGGGGCTGGCTTCCCTGATGTCCAGTGGCATCTGGCTAGGTCTGATGGGAGTCAGGTCCAGACTCCAGGCTCTCCCTCCTCTCTGGTCCTCCCCTCTCTCGCTCTAACTGGTACGCTGGGAGAAAGTGACTTGTACTTCATCCCAGCACTGAAGCTTCTCACAAATAAGGGGACCTGGTCGCACTGTTAAAGGACCATGGCGCATGACTGGGCCTCTGATCATAGATGGGCATTGGATGGCCCTAAGCGCATAAAATTGGACAGCCCTGGTCTAAACAAAAAAATGAAACAAGAACAGTTTGTCTGTTTTACAACAGGATTTTTTTGAGTTTGAGCGATTCAATAAAACAAGCTTTTCCTAAATACTGATAGAGCTGTCACAACACAGTTTGAAGCAAAGCATAGATTGTCGATATAAAATAACCCCCAACTAAACCCGTATAAATAGCCTGGAATGTGGTTCAATCCTGATCTCTCACTCTGACTTCAAATTGGAGCTCTTTTTAGAAATAAATCATGTTTAAATCCTGTGGTTTGAAAACAGATGGCTATGGAGATGTAGTTTATAGATCTGAATCTAAAATTAATCTCCATATAACTCAACACTCAAAATTCACTATGTTGGTTTGTCCTGCTACTCATCACTACTCATTGTGATCTAGTAAAGGATCACTATAGGGTCAGGAACACAAACATGTATTACTGACCCTATAGTGCTAAACCCACCATTTAGGTGGCTTACCCCCCCCTAAAAAAGTTTAAAACTCTCCTTATTTGCAGCGCTGTGCGGGTCTGCCGGCTCCGCCCCTTTTGTGACATAATAAAAATGGCCGCCTTTTAGCCAAGATGATGCTTTCCTATAAAATCGGCACTGGGGCAGGGCCAAATGCTGTTTAGGCCAATCAGGACCTCCTCATAGCAATGCATTGAATCAATGAATCTCTATGAGGAAAATTCAGCTTCCCCATGCAGAGCGTGGGGAAGAACTTGTTGGTCACCTTTGCAGATTTATCCGATTTTAATGTGCTTCGATAAAAGAACTACTATTTGCTAGAGCAAGATAATGCTATTCAGCATAAGGTTAAGAATGCAGCTCTTTAGAGTCCTACTGTTTTAGAGCTCTTTGTCACCAAGGGTTGAGTAGGAAGGGCCTTGTATCCTTAGTTATACTACTATATGCTCAAATGTTACTGTATAGGGTTAGCTCACATTCATAAAGCAGTGTGAGCAATATTGTGATGGGGAGATAGATGGTGAGACATCAGGGACGCTGCCCTTAAGGTTTCTATGGTGGTTTCACTGTGGTTGATACCTAATGTCTCTTCCATGATTTAAGTCAAGCCAAGATGGCAAATAATTTCTTAATGGACAAACTTACCACCACGGTTTATAATCCCTTGCAATCCTTTTTATTATTATTATGTTATTATTTATATAGCGCCAACAAATTCCACAGCGCTTTACAGTGGGTGGACGAACAAACCTGTAGTTGTAACCAGACAAGTTGGACACACAGGAACAGAGGGGTTGAGGGCCCAGCTCAATGAGCTTACAAGCTAGAGTGAGTGGGGTAGTAAGTGACACAAAAGGTAAGGATAGTATTAGACTAATGACAGTTGCAAGAGAGGAATCAATTGGGAGCTATTAATAGTTTAATTGATACGCTTTTATGACTAAGTGTTTTTTTTTTTTTTATGATTTTTTTTTTTTTTTGAAGGAGTGGAGACTGGGTGAGCATCTAACGGAGGAGGGAAGTGAGTTCCACAGGAACGGTGCAGCCCTCGAGAAGTCGTGAAGGCGAGCATCAGAGGTGGGAGTGTTGTGGACCAAACCAAGTGTTTGATTATCTGACTATCTGCCCCTGTTCAAATTGTTTAAAATGGATGCGTGCACACTTCTGAAGTAAATCACACCAGACACAAGTTTGCAGGTTAATAAAGAACTTCGGAATGTTTACTTAGGGGGGGCGGGAAGCCCCTTATAAAGACAAGAATACATCATATGCAAAAATTTTGATAACACCTAACCAATTAAAGATGTATTCTTACTGTTATCTAATGCACATCCTACAAGGCATGATGTCACCCACTTCCTGGGATTTTACTCCGGATACAGGCGCCATCTTGTTACACGAGGTAGTTAGTCGAAGTAGTCTTGTTACACGAGGTAGTTAGTCGAAGGAAGGGGTGCTCTAGCAGCCATTTTGAGTAAATATTGAATATAGGTATACATGAGTAAATAGGCATTTTACTGAAACCATTTTTACATCCATAACAGTCCCCCCTTAAAATGACTATTTACTAACAACTACAACCCAAATCTGAAAAAGTCTAAATCTGTCCCTAAAGGCTGCCGCACATCTGTCTTACAGGTCTCGAACTCTTTTGATGCTGCGTAAAGGACAAGCTGTGGCTTGTCAACTACCTACCCTGCTACAGACGTAGAGACAGACGATATCCCTAACATCTCTAAAAAGAAGTAGTTGTGTGGTTGGTGCGGAGGGACTCTAGAGGAGAGTGGGGCGGAAAAGGCTTGTCACAGTCTTCGTCATCCAATTCTTGGTGAAGGAAAGTCGGGGTGGATTGGTCAATTGTCTGGTCAGTTGTCCTTTGTAGGTATTTATGAATACATGGCAACACACAACAGACAAAGATAATGAAAAGGAGCATAAAGATTAGGACAGCCATACCTATTTGGACCAGCACTTTGCCAGTTACTTAACCATCCATACCATGTATCCTATGAGTTAGTGACTCCTGACTTTCTCTTCAACTCTTCCGAGAGACTCTCTAATTTCTCTATTGCCAGTGTCCCTTTACCATTAGGGCCTGTGTTGTCTGGGATGAAAGTACAACATGTCATAGTGTCTGGGAGTATTTTACACACTCCTCCTTTTTCAGCCAAAATCATATCGAGGGCCATTCTATTTTGAAAGGTCATAAGGGGGGGGACTTGTAATTGTTCTGCCAATCCTTGAAGGGCATCGCTGGTGTAATTAACAAAATGTTGTTGGTTGTAATAGATATCATTTATCCAATTCAAATTCTTATTGGCTGTAATGATTGGGAGAATAGATTCAAACCCTGCTGCAACTTCATCTCTTGCTTTGAATTCATTCGGTACCCCTATGGCATCAATAAATATATATGTGGGTCAAAGCTGCCCTTTACAGGGGTGCTCCTTTTTGTCCTAAAATAGGTACGAGGGGTGTCAGGGATACCTTGGTGGTTGTCAGATATTATGTTTATGGGGTGGTCTGTGAGTGAATTGTTCAGAGAGGCATATGATTTTTTAACACCAGGGAGAGTGTGTGTTTCTGTGTGTATATAACCAAAATTAATATTTAATTATGGGCCCCTGGGGTGGAGCATTTGGAGAGCAGGGTGGGCCAGTGCTCCACTCCGCAGTTTAGTGGTTTTCTTGGGAGACATAGATCCAGGCCAGGGTTTTTGGACTGTCTCCAACCCACTGCTCAGCTGCAGGTAATCAGCTGCAGCAGTGGGAATAAACCCCTCCCTGCTAGGCAGGTAAGGGGAGAATGTTTTTGTTTTCTCTCTTGAAGAGTTGGAAGCAGCAGGCTGACTAAACACTGGAGTGCTGAGAGCTGACAAAGACACTAGGTTGGTGAAACCAGTATTATTTTGTTATAGTTTAACCCCTGAGAGATAGGGAACCTGAAGTTAGTTAGTGCTCAGACAAGCTAGGTTTTTGTTTATAGGGATTTGTGTTATATTTATGTTTTCATTTACTGCTGTCTCTGTGGTGAAGCTCAACAATAAAGTACCTGGAATTAAGTTACTTTTAAAGACTGTGCATGTTTGTACCCTAGAGGACCGTGCTATCTGCAACCAAGGATCACAGGGCATAATGACTTTAGCTGGGGCACATTCCCCCCAGAATAGGCCTTCCAGCCTGGATCTGAATTGCATATCACCACATAGCCAATATATGTCACCGAGGGACCTAGCCTGTTTCACTAATAGGTCAACTGGGGGTGGTGCTCTGTATGTGGCACAATAGCCAGGAGGAAAATTCCCCAGGAATTGTCCTGACCCACCGTGTATAGTGTAGCAAGTGTGGTTCCCTGGATAAATAGTGGTTTGATATTCTTACGAGTCATAGGGTACTCTCTCTTCCATGACTCACATGCAGACCAATTAGTTTTAGCATATGCATAGAGACCCAGAAAGCATGTCTCTATGTCGGGGGGTAAGTTTAAGGGCACAGTACCCAGATGTCGTCGGGCACCTCCACAAACAACAGTTAGTTTTATTATGACAGTTAGAATTATATCTCATCCATTCAAACCATAGGTTAGTATCAGAGAAATCTTCTCTACAGCCATAGTATCTTCGAATGTGGGGTTGGCTATGGCTACCATGTCTTTAAGAGTCTTAATGTGAGGTTTGAGGGGATTAGTGGTCATGTGTTGAGAATCTACCCACTGGTGATTGATACATGTCTTGTAGATAGAAGGTTTCTTGTTTATTATACGAGCCTCCTCCTTTCCAGTACATTCCCATTACCTACTCACCAGCGTCTCCAGGGCTAGGGTGTTCTATATTCAGAGTTAGCTTCATGGGAGTTGCCCCCCCTAGTTTCCGTAAAGTCATTCTACGCAGCAGGGATTCCCCATTTCTGTCTAATCTGTCTAAGGCACTTTGAGGTTTGTAGCCCCAGGCTGGCCCTGTGTTCCAACCCACCGCCCCCCAGGAGCTACAGTCATGTCCCCAATAGTCATCTGTCACACATATGTATGGGTCCTTTGTGTTGGGTATGTCTTTGTATACTGTTGATAGCAATGACTGTGGGAACGTACAGCTGACAATGTCACAATAATCAAATGAAAAGGTGGCTACATGTGTACTAGATGAGTTGTACCAAAATGTGTAAACATGATTATCTTTAATAATAGCAACTTGTTGGGCCTCTATTACGCCTAGCAGCAGAAACAAGCACAGGCAACTCATGACGTGGGAATGTCTACTTCCTCTGGAGCTGGAACTTTCTTGCAGTGAGAGGCAATCCATGTATTCTTCCTGGCCAATTTCACTGAGGTAGATGTAATTAGGAGGACTTGGAAAGGACCATCATATCTTGGCTCAAGAGTGTGTTTTCGCACGAATCTCTTAACCAGAACCCAATCACCAGGGAGCAGCTTGTGAGTGCCTGTATCAGACTCTGGATCTGGAATGGAAGAAAACACTTGCGAGAGAGAGAGAGCATTTACATAAAGCAACCAATACATCAGACTGGAGTTGGAGCTGCTGGGGGAAGTAGCAGCCAAGTCTAGGGGCTGAACCAAACAAAATCTCATAAGGAGACAGGCTAAACCTCCTTACACTAAACAGAGCTATGGGAAGACTATCTGGCCAGGGCCATCTTCATGCCATTCATGCATTCAACCTTGCCACTACTCTGTGGGTGACAGGGTGCATGGAATGCAAGGGTCACCCCGAGTGCTGTCCAGATTTCCTTAGTCACCAGTGCACTGGTCACTTTCTATCACTTCTGGGACTCCATATCTGCACACAACTTCGGTGAGTAGATGTTTGGCTGTAGTCTTGGCTGTCATGTTAGTGACTGGAAAGGCTTCTGGCCATCCTGAAAACATATCAACTATGACCAGTGCATATTCATACTGGCCACTCTTTGGCATCTGAATATGGTCAAATTGGGCCCTCTAAAAGGGATATTGAGGCTTGGCTAGATGTTTGGGGGGCAGCTTTTTCCATTCTCCCTGGGTTGCATTTGGCAAAGATGGTACAGGATCTGCAGTAGCTCTTAGTCAGGGAGGTAATGCCTGGGGCATCATAATATTTGTTGATCAGAAAATTCATGAGGGTCTTGGACAGATGTGCCGCTCCATGGGCCCACTGAACCACTGCTGGGTACAGAACTTGAGGTTATTGGTGTACAGGCCATCTTGGAGGGTTGCTCCTTTCTGTTTCCAGCTCTGTTTTTCCTCAGGATCAGCAGCTGCTTGCTGCTCTTTCAGGAACTTGAGATCCATAGGCAAAGTTTGCATAGTAAATATGGGGGTTCCTTTAGCGGACACTCTTCTGTCCACTTCCCTTAGTGCACGTGCAGCATCTTTGGCAGCTTGGTCAGGTAGATAGTTGCCACATGCTTCCTCCGAATTCAGTCTTCCATGAGCCTTTACCTTCAGTATGGCAACTTCTTCCGGAAGGAGTAGGGCATCCATCAGCTCCTTGATGGCTGTACTGTGTTTTACTGGTGTACCAGTTGCTGTGAGAAAACCTCTTGTCTTCCAGATTAATCTGAAGTCATGTGCTACGCCCAGTGCATATCTTGAATCGGTGTAGATATTGACGCGCTTTCCTTCAGACATTCTGCATGCTATGATGAGGGCCTGTAGTTCGGCTTCTTGGGCAGACATGGTTGAGGGGAGTTAAGATGCTTGGAGTATCTGGTCCACTGTGGTAACAGCAAATCCAGTGTGGTACCTTCCTTCCTCATCAGCATATCTGGAGCCATCTACAAACGGTGAAATCAGGTTCCAGCAGAGCAGTTTCATATACTGTTGGAAGATGTGTTGTGTTGTCTCCATCTTCATCTGTTCAAAACAGTCATGGGGTGCATCTAGATCTTGATCCGCAGGAGGGGCATCAATGCATATTTCACAGTTCGATTAGTGACCCCTTCTCCAGAAAGCTGGTCTTGATCAGCTGTGCTCCATGAGCTGGCCAATGGGCCAAGTTCTTTCCACAAGAGTTGTAGGGATTTAGTGAAGGAGACGTGAGGAACCGCCAAATCCCAGTGATGGTACATGTGTCTTACTTCCATAGGCAAGAGGACTAGAGCCACGCTGTTGCCCGTGGAGTCACAGAACAGGCCTGTCGAGATGAGACTTACCTCCACCAGCTGGAACAGTTCTTCCTCATAATGTGTGTCAGGTCCTGGAGTATTTCTGAACCACAAAGCGCAATGGGGGAAAGACTGAGCATTATGTGGAACGGAAGGAACACACACATTCATGAAGATGATGGAGTCCGGGTCTATATCAAGACTGTACCAGTAGCAGGGGATTCACCCCCCACCCCCGGGAAGTGGCAGAAGAGTGGCCGGGTTGAGAGAGTTACATCTTTGCAGGGTGACATTATCTGGGAGCAGAAGGGTAGATTGAAGGCGGAGGTGATGAGCAGATGAGAGGTGTTTAGGTTGAGTCTGGTTGAGGATGGCAGTAATATCGTGAGGGTCAAGAATGGTGAAGTTGTGGCCGAGGACCAAATCATTCATCTTGTCTAGGAGGGCCTGTGCTGCGAATACTGCACGGAGACATGAGGGACCCACTCTCGCCACGGGGTCCAGCTGACTGGAATAGTAGCCAATTGGACGTTGACGGGAACCATGAGATTGTGTGAGAACCCCAGAAGCATGTCCTTGTCTTTTAGAAACAAACCGTTTGAAGGGTTTATGATAATTAGGGAGGCCCAGGGCAGGGCTGAGGAGATGGCACTTTGCAGGGCACAGAAACTGTAATAGGCCTCTGGAGACAGAGAGAAAGGTTCAGTCTTTAGGGCGTCATACAGGGGTTGCATGAGAGTTGAGGCCTCAGGCATCCAGGCTCTGCAGTAGGAAATGAGACCCAGAAAGGCATGTAGAGGTTTGTGGGCTTTGGGAGGACAGATGGCTGTAATTCCCCTCACACGATCCCGAGTGAGGTGACGGGTGCCATGGGAAAGACAATGTCCCAAGAAGACCACAGAGGGCCGGCACCATTGCAGCTTCTTCTTAGAGGCCTTGCAGCTCTGTTCAGCAAGGTAACAGAGTAAATCTTATGATACCCGCTCAGCTGTTGGAAGATCATCAGCACAAAGAAGATCATCCACATATTGGAGTATGAGATTGTTGCCATGGATCTAAGACAGTTGCCATAGCCTTTGCAAATTGACTTGGTGAATTATGTGCCCCTTGAAGCATGACAGTCCATGTATATTGTTGGCAGTCGTGGGTGAATGCAAATAGATATTGACATGAAGCATCCAAGGGTACACTGAAGAAGGCATTTGCCAGATCAACAACTGTGAAGAACTTTGCTGTAGGAGGAACTTTTGACAGGAGAGTATGAACCATTCTGTATTTTTCTGGCTCACCTTTTTTTATCTTCTTTTTCACCGGAAACAAAGGGGTGTTGCAAGGGGATTCACACTTGACTAGAGCACCTTTTGCTAGCAGGCTCTCAACTTGTTTAGAGATAGCAAGGGCCTGAGCAGGCCTCAGGGGTTCTGGTGTTTTAGGGGTGGATTGGCACCTTGGGGCAGTTTCACATGAACTGGGGGAACCTGGAGACGTCCGATGTCTTCGGGGCCTGTGGACCACAGCTTAGCAGGAACTCTGTCCAGAGCACTGGGGGGGGGATCATCTAGGACCCTTACATCCTTGTTAGGGGACTCCATATGGAGCAGAAGGGGTATGGAGCAGAGGGCAGAGGTGTCTGAAGTAGACAAAGGAGAGGACAACTGGACTTGGCCATCTGGGGTGAAGGAGATAGAGGCCTGCAGACTGGAGAGGACATCTGCTCCTAACAGGTTAATAGGATGAGACCACAAAGTGGTTTAGGCGTTCAGGAAAGGTGCCCACCCGCAATAGTTTAGTCAAGGGGCTACTTTGGGGGGTACCATCTACACCTACACATGAAACTTCAATATTAGACAGGAAAGAGGAGTCAAGCAAGTCTTGTTCTCTGAGAACGCTACAACTAAGAAAGTAGTTGGGTGGCCTTCAGTAGGTAGGACCACTGTAGCTAGGGGCCCCTCTTTATCCCCTATAGACACTGCCATGGCAGGGGTGTGTGACACAGGTTTGCCAGTTACCTATTGTACAAGGTCTAGGTGAGCCCTATCAGGACCAGTATAGGGGCGATTGGGTGCTGCAGAATAATTAGGTTGATAAGCACGTTGGGCAGGGCGTTGCTGACTGGGTACAGGGTGGTCAGCAGATGAATGACCACCGGAAGGATAGTCTTCTGTGGGATAACTGGCAGCATAGTCATGAGACACAGGGTAACTCGGAACAAGAGGTGGGGAATAGCCAGCCATGGGGAAATCTATCTATCCGAGTGGTCTTTCAGTCTGTGGTTGCTGTCTAGGGACCCTGGGGGCAGGACAGTCCTTTCTAAAATTACCGACCTGGTTACAGTTAAAACAGGCCCTAATCTGTTGTTTAGGAGGCTGAGCCATGAGGCAGGGGCATGGGATAACCAGCAGGGGCTGGGGCAGGCCTGATTGCAGGATTATGCAAGGAAAACATGAGGGGAGCAGACTTCCAACTTAGAGGTGAGGGTAGCTGGGAAGATTCCAGGCCCTTGGCAACCAGGAGAAGGGTATCCAGAGGGATAATTCTATACTCCGGGGCGGGACAGGATCAGGCCTTTCCTTATGGGTTTTTTGAGGCCTGCAACAAAGGCCGCTGATAGCATTTGGGTGTGTGCCTTATTATACACTGCTCAAAAAAATAAAGGGAACACTTAAACAACACAATGTAACTCCAAGTCAATCACACTTCTGTGAAATCAAACTGTCCACTTAGGAAGCAACACTGAGTGACAATCAATTTCACATGCTGTTGTGCAAATGGAATAGACAACAGGTGGAAATTATAGGCAATTAGCAAGACACCCCCAATAAAGGAGTGATTCTGCAGGTGGTGACCACAGACCACTTCTCAGTTCCTATGCTTCCTGGCTGATGTTTTGGTCACTTTTGAATGCTGGCAGTGCTTTCACTCTAGTGGAAGCATGAGACGGAGTCTACAACCCACAGAAGTGGCTCAGGTAGTGCAGCTCATCCAGGATGGCACATCAATGCGAGCTGTGGCAAGAAGGTTTGCTGTGTCTGTCAGCGTAGTGTCCATAGCATGGAGGTGCTACCAGTTGACAGGCCAGTACATCAGGAGACGTGGAGGAGGCCGTAGGAGGGCAACAACCCAGCAGCAGGACCGCTACCTCTGCCTTTGTGCAAGGAGGAACATGAGGAGCACTGCCAGAGCCCTTGGCATTTGCCAGAGTACACCAAGATTGGCAAATTCGCCACTGGCGCCCTGTGCTCTTCACAGATGAAAGCATGTTCACACTGAGCACATGTGACAGAGTCTGGAGACGCCGTGGAGAATGTTCTGCTGCCTGCAACATCCTCCAGCATGACCGGTTTGGCAGTGGGTCAATAATGGTGTGGGGTGGCATTTCATTGGGGGGCTGCACAGCCCTCCATGTGCTCGCCAGAGGTAGCCTGACTGTCATTAGGTACTGAGGTGAGATCCTCAGACCCCTTGTGAGACCATATGCTGGTGCGGTTGGCCCTGGGTTCCTCCTAATGCAAGACACTGCTAGACCTCATGTGGCTGGAGTGTGTCAGCAGTTCCTGCAAGATGAAGGCATTGATGCTATGGACTGGCCCGCCCGTTCCCCAGACCTGAATCCAATTGAGCACACAGAGGACATCATGTCTCGCTCCAGTTGGCAGATGCTTTAGTCCAGGTCTGGGAGGAGATCTCTCAGGAGACCATCTGCCACCTCATCAAGAGCATGTACAGGCATTGTAGGGAGGTCATACAGGCACGTGGAGGCCACACACACTACTGAGCCTCATTTTGACTTGTTTTACGGACATTACATCAAAGTTGGATCAGCCTGTAGTGGGTTTTTCCACTTTAATTTTGAGTGTGACTCCAAATCCAGACCTCCATGGGTTGAAAATTTTGATTTCCATTTTTTTTATTTTTGTGTGATTATGTTGTCAGCACAATCAACTATGTCAAGAACAAAGTATTTCAGAAGAATATTTAATTCATTCATATCTAGGATGTGTTATTTTTGTGTTCCCTTTATTTTTTTTGAGCAGTGTATAAACTGTAGAAACCCAGGTCAGAGAAGTTTTGGGATAACCTGGCATGATATTTCTCAACAGATTCTGTCTTTTCTTGAATTACATCATTAATACAGGTGGCCTGATCGGCCAATTTATCTTGAGCCCACGCCCTGAGTTGGTCACAAAATTCAACACCTGAGGGAAAATCAGTCTCACTCAGGAGTCGGCACTAGAGAAGCTCTTTTCCATGATAGGCCAATAAGTGTCCCCTGCCTTAATTTCACGGAGACTAAACAAGTCACGACATGCAGCGAAATAGGTCTTTCGGATTTAAGCAATTCTTCGGTAGAAGGGCATGGACTGTTTCTCTGGGTCAGGGAGAGATGTCACCAGGACTGAGGCCTGGGACGGGTTAAATAAGACATACATTAAGGGGGCTCCATCCGTATGGAAGTGGGCCCCAGAGGGTTCATCATGGGGACCAGTATGGTGCACAGTACAGGGCTGGGGAAGGTTAGCCCCTAAGAGGCTACAATCGTCAGGAGCAGCTGGCATTATCAAAGAAGTCAGGGGCCTGTGCCGCTCCAGTCGTGCCATGCAAGGAGAGAGTGTGTCGGGGAGGAGGTGGTAGTAGTTGGGCGTCTTAAGGGGTGAGTGCGGGTGGATCTAACAAGGACATGTTTTTAACGTTATGAAGTAAAATGTGAAAACAATAAAGTAAATAGAAATTACTTTTAACTGGTGATTAATGAGATCCTTGAGGCTGATGCTGCGAGACTAAATATTTGATTTCTGGTTCGATTTTCGTAAGGAACAAACAATGGTCTCCTCTTTCGGTGATATTCAGACGGTTTCTCTGTCTGCTCATATGATTAACAGCACTAAAGCCTGATTCTACAAGATATGTGGTAGGGAAAGTTATCAATAAATTGAACATCATTTTCCATATATTTGTATATAACGCAGGCATTTTTTTTTTTCAGAGTTTTTAGTATCCACCACTGCCAAAATTACATTTACTCTCTTCGTCATATTTAAGTTCTAATAGTTCTTCTTGGCAAGTTATATCAACCTCAGCAACATTTGCTGTAAAAGGATTTGTCATCCAGTCATGCACCTTTAAGTTCAAAATATCTTGAAATTGTTTTTCCATATCCAATTTGAGTTCATTGAGGTGGCTACTGAACCTTTCAATATCCCCCAGAGTTACATCATTGTTTATAAAGGACAATTCAGGAAACTGATGAAATTCTCTCATGAAAATATTATGACGGAAAAGATCAAGCTTTTCGATAAATAATGACAATATTTTTGCAACTTATAAGAGTTATATTGGCTCCTTGAAGATGCAAATTAATTTCATAAAATTTCTTGAAAATGTCTGCCAAATAAAAGGCATCATTCTTTATGGTTTTTAACTGTTCATAGAGACCAGTCTCATTATTACTTTCAAAAAACTGTATGACACTATCAAATAATGCAACAAAACAAGACAAGCATGTACCCTTTGAGAGCCATTGAACTTCTGTGTGTAAAAATACCGTGTATGCTCGAGTATAAGTCGACCCCGAATATAAGCCGAGGCCCCTAATTTTACCACAAAAAACTGGGAAAACTTATTGACTCGAGTGTAAGCCTAGGGTAGGAAATGCAGCAGCTACTGGTAAATTTCTAAATAAAATTAAATCCCAATAAAATTACATTAATTGAATATTTATTTACAGTGTATGTATATAATGAATGCAGTGTGTGTTTGTGTAGTGTGTATATAATGAATGCAGAGTGTGTGTGTGTTTGTGTGTAGTGTGTGTGTGTATATAATGAATGCAGAGTATGTGTGTTTGTGTGAATGCAGTGTGTGTATATAATGAATGCAGTGTGTGTTTGTATGAATGCAGTGTGTGTATAATGCAGACATACACTGCATTATATACATACACACTCATACAAACACACACTCTGCATTATATACACACATACACTGCATTATACACACACTGTGTGTGTATATATAATGCGGTGTGTGTGTGTGTGTGTGTGTGTATATATATATATGATTACAAAAAGAAAAGTCCTGCGCTCACTCCCATCACTCCTGGGCGACAGCAATGACTACAGTACACATCAGCTAATACATATAGTAAAAACCAAAGAAAAAAGTTACCTGCGCTCTCTCCTTAATCCCTATGTATATTTAAACAAATGGAGGTCATTTAGTTACTCCAATGGCCACTGGTGGGAATGCCCGTCTGCCAACGTCAAGGCAGACCCCCCTAGACAGTTCCTACTCTGACCCTTTACCTTGCTTCCTTGAGCTTCTGGCAAAAATATCTCTAGTGAGACAGAAAGGGGTATTTTTTTATATACACCCCTATATACTTGTTAACCCTTAATAGGGAACACATGGGATGGGCGGCAGCATTGTAACCTAGCGGTGTGATACAAAAAGTGAATACAAATACAAAAAGAAAAGTCCTGCGCTCACTCTCATCACTCCTGGGTGGCAGCAATGACTACAGTACACATCAGCGAATACATATAGTAAAAACCAAAGAAAAAAAGTTACCTGCACTCTCTCCTTAATCCCTATGTATATTTAAACAAATGGAGGTAATTTTAGAGTAACATTGGAGTAACTAAATGACTAAAGGTTTTTACTGTTTGTTTTTATTGCCAGTTGATAAAGCCCTGTGTGGCGAAACGCATTTTGGCTGTTTTTGAACTTATTTTCATGTGTATTAATAAAGGAATATTGGCCTTTTAAACTTTTTCTGTGCCTTATACCTTTTTTATTTATTATTTTAAAAATACATATTTTTGTATTATTCTAAATCATCTTTTATTTATCTCAACCTGGTCACCTACTACTTTGGAGCAGTCACCTGCACAAAAATCCCAGGTGGGGATTGTGCCACCTATGCGAGTACAGTGAGCAGTATATTTCTGCTCACCCATATGTGAGTATTTTATTTTCCTATTTACTTGCTTTTTAAGGAATTATAGTGAGCACTATATTTGGTTTTATTTCTTTCAAACACTGAGGACCTGTTTACGATTATCTACATCTATATCCTACCAGTGGGGGGGTCGAAGCCACTGAATGCTATTATCACCAGAGCTAGTCTTAGCTCCTCAATAGGTGAGTGTACATACCACTCTGCTGTGAAGTTTTTTGATTTCCTCTTTTTGGCTGTTTACCATCTGCACTATTGGAGTCTCCTTTTCTTGTATTTACATATGAAAATCTGCACCAAGAAAATTCTACTACTCCAAGACTAACAAGACACTGAGACCCACAGCGAAATCCAGTGCCTGCAAACCTATTTGATCTCCTTCCTGTCCATACTATATTAGGACTTTTTGAACTATATATCTCCTTTCTCTGTCTGATATATGTAAGTACATTATCACAGTCCATACTGTATTACAGTTATTTGTGGCATACCAGTTTTTTTTTATTGTAGTTTATACTATTTTTTCACGGTTCATTGTGGCGCGACCTATTTTTCACTATCTCTTTGTGAGGGAACCTCATATTCATAGGTTGCAGCCTCTCATTTAAGCTAGCTCTTAATTGATCATATAGTGCTGATCCAATAAAAAAAAAAAAAAATTTTTTTATTTTTTATCTGTTATACTGCATAAGTATTGTCTATCTTTACTCTCACCCAACTATGCTTCAGTGAAGGAATATGTAGAAGGGCCTGGAAAACTGCTTGTAACTCTAAAACAATCGAGGATTGAAGATACCGCTTGTTTTTCCACTAACCCTGTACATGATGAAGGTCCAGATGAGCTCCCAAACCTGACTGACACGCATCCGTCGTCAGGGTGACCCAAGGAATATTGTTCAGAGGAAATCCTTGATATAAATTCTGATCTATCAGCCACCATGATAGCTCCTTTTTGATCTCTGATGACAAAGAAATTGCTTGGTTCAGATCCTTGTTTGCAAACTGGGATAAAAACCCTTCTTGGGGAATCCTTATATGCCACTGGGCCCATCTTGTAAGGCCTATTGTAGAGGACAAGCTTCCCTGGAGGCTCATGAATTCCCTGGCCGGAATGGAGTTAAGGGACAGAAGATGAAGAATCTTTGACTGAATACGAAGCCCTCTGTCCAAGGATAGAGAGACTTGCGACTGAATCGTGTGGAACCTTGCCCCTAAGTATACCATAATTTGAGAGGGAGAAAGCTGACTCTTCTTGAGGTTTATTATCCATCCACATTTTTGAAGAAGAATGAGAACTCGATCTCTGTAGAATATTGCATATTCTATATGTTCCTATTCAAATACATATTAAGGTGTGGTTGTCTAATGGGTTAAACAGAATAGATGGTGTTTGCTATTCTGTACCATGAGGTCTCTGGAATTTGCTGTATAAGAGATTTGAGGTGGTCTTTATATAGGGAACTTCCTTATATGGCAGAGTCTAAACTAAACGTTATGACGTAATTTGGGCTATATAGATATATAGAGCCAAGGACAAAGGACTACAGGCTCTCTTCCTGCTACGATCCGTTTTGCTCTACTCTCTGATGTGCTGAGTTGCTGATACAAAGACGACTCTCTGTAACGTCGTTAAGAAATACCATCTGTTATATTATTGTTTGCTGTTGAATGTAGAATAAATACTTGTTTTTTTTAAAGAACGTCAGATTGCGTATTAGTACTTTTCAACAATATAGACATATTATTGTGGCGAGCCTGACCCAAAAGAAGAAAATAAAAATAAATATATATATAAATATAAAGACTTATTCAACTAAAGAAAAACACAGCCAGTTATTACATCGGCTAGCCAGCCAGTCTTCTATTCAAGTTTTGTTCTCACTTCAAGGGGGGAGAGAGAAGAATCGAGTTACAAAGCTATTTTGGAACTGGGAAAACAAATTTGAAGAAAAAAAAGAATCTAGACTGACTATCATAGAAGAACTGTGGTTTGTAAGAAAAATAAAGTTTTCAAATCACAAAGATCGTACAAGACTATATATACAAAAGACGTGTATATATATATATCAATCAACTGAAGACAAGAAGAAATTAAGAAGATTTAACAGTGACGATTCCGACCAGATTTTACAATCTCGATGAAGGAGACGATCTCTGTTGTGTGAGAGGTTTAAGATGTCGTTGAGATAATGGAATATTGAAATGCCTTCCAAACGGATGTGGGCTATTAAGGAAACAAGGATCTTTGAGAAAGTTCTGGGAGCTGTGCTCAAGCCAAAGGGGAGAGCCCTAAATTGAAAATGCTGGTGGCGAATTGCAAACCTCAGGAACTTCTGGTGTGGTGGAGCAATCGGAATGTGAAAATAAGCATCTCAAAGGTCTATGGAGATTAACCAGTCGCCTGGCGAGATAGCTTTGATAATGGAACTTAAAGATTCCATCTTGAATTTTCTCACACACAGATCTTTGTTTAGCTTGTGAAGATCTAAAATTGGTCTCCATTCCCCTGAAGCCTTTGGAGTGAGGAATAGTCTGGAATAGACTCCCAATCCTCTTTCTTTTGCAGGAACAGGACAAATGACTCCTTCTGCTGAAAGGGAAGAAACAAAAGAACGAATGGCCGCTGCTTTCTCTGGTTCCAGAGGAATGCTCGTAAACATAAACCAGGGATAAGGATAGTGGAGAATTCCAGGAAGTAGCCGGACTTTAGGATCTTCAGCACCCCCTTGTCCTGTATTGTTTGAGCCCAGACCTCGTAGTTAAGAAGTCTTGCTCCCACTCTCAAGGGCTGGACTTGCGTCCCATCAGAATTGCTTAGACGGTCTGGTACTGCCACCTCGTCCTCGGGAGTTTTTGGAAGAGGAGAATCCACCTTTCCAAGATTGGAATCTGGAAAATTCTTTACCAGGCCTGTATCGTCTAAATTCCTTATCTCGAAAGTAACGTGTAACGGATCGCTTGGCACCCCGACTGGGTACCTCCGTTGAAGGATGCTCCTAGCGCTTCCTGAGGGCTCCAAGCACTCCAGCCAACACCATAACCACCGAAGTCTCCTTCAGAGAGCAAGACACGAACAAGCTCTTACAAGAGCTTCGCAGTGAATATAGCAAGAGAGTATGCAGATCATAGCAATCCCTTGTAGCAGATTCCCCAAATAAGAGACAGCACTCCAAATTGAGGGTGAACTGTTACTTGGGACTAGCCCATATGGTCATTACATTAACATTGCTGTGAAAACTCAGTAAAATTACAAACAGTCAAATCATAGCAGGCAACATACAGTGACTTATTATTACACAATAGCATATTTTTAAAGAGGTGGGGGAGACAATAATTAACAGAAAATATCTCACATGCCTGCAGAATTAGCAATATGCAAATGAACCAGTCTTGCTATTCAGGTAGTGCATATTGCTGTTACTACCAACAGAGGGCACTAGACAAGCTCCCTAGCCAAATCCACCTAGTTCGTAGGCAAACCTCAGCAGTACAGGAGAGCAGACAATACATCCCAGGGGCCATAGTCACATGGCAGGAGGCTGGCAATCAGTCTTCTCCAATGCCCAGTGGCGAGGCTGGTTCCGCCACAGTCTGTCCTGTGGAAAAGATCTTTTAGGACGTCTATCTTGAGGGAGAAAGGCCTTATGTCCTTCCACTGCCCTTTTAATACATTCGTCCAGATATTTGCCAAAGAGCACATCCCCTTGAAAACGGAGGGCACACAGGCTATTTTATGAAGAGGTATCTGCCACCCAATTATGTAGCCAAAGAGCACGTATTGATGCTACTGTTAGGACCATGCTTCTGGAGATGGATCTCACCAAATCTAGAGAAGCTTCTGATGAAAATTCAATAGCCAAATTAACTTTTTTTTTTAAATTCCAAAAGCCTGGATCTACTGAAACCACTTGAAATGTTATCTTCGAGGTCGTCCATCCACTGCTTTAAGGCCCTGGAAACGGATGTCAAGGCTACAGCAGGACGAAGCCCAGAGCCAGAGGCAATATATGCTTTGGATAAATTCGAATCCATACGTTTATCCATTGGATCACGTAAAGTACCAGCATCATCCAATGAAAGGGTGGTCTTTTTGGCTAATCGGACAACTGCTGCATCCACTTTGGGGGCAAGATCCCAACAACTACTGTCATCAGATTTAAAAGGGTAAAGTTTAGAAAAACGACCCTGAATAGAAACTCTTTTCTCAGCCTTCTTCCATTCTTGCTTAATAAGGTCTTCAATGGCCTCATGCAATGGAAAAGTAGGATTGTGCTTTCTTAGGTCTGCAAAATGCTTACTAGAAGCTGGTTCTTCCTCTCTCCTATCACTAAGGACCAAGGTATCACAAACTGCCTTGATTAAAGCTTCAATTTTCACGTTGTCTATAAAGACAGGAGAGGCCCCAGACTCCTCATCTTGAGATGAAAATTCGTCTTCCTCTAATACTGGGGGCATATATTCATCAGAGCTCAAATCAGCATATTCTTCCGGGCTAAAAGATCTACATCTTTTCTTTGCCATCTCAGACTGCTGAAGACCCTCTGAAACTGCTTGATGGATGTAAGAGAGAATATCTGGATCCAGTGCTGCATGGCCTGCCGCTGCTTTAAGACAAGCTAAACAAAGTCTTTTCCCAGGCAGCACCTTGTCATCACAAGTTTCACACAAGGGGGTTTTATCCTTCTTTTTCCTGTATGAGGATCTGTGGGTAGAACTGAAATCCTCCAATTAGATAGCTGAAATGCACTCTTTTTAATTTGTATAGTAAATAAATATCATGATAATATTAAATACTAAAAATAAAAGTGACTTACTCTGAACCTCGAGATTGCAACCTATTTTTTGAAGCCTTGGAATCCATATTATGAGGGCAGCTAGAAAATATAAAATAAAGTTTCTAGCAATCAAAAGAAATTACCTAAATTACCTAAAGGATTTAAAAAAACAAAATAAAACCAATACGACCAGAAAGAGCAACACAGAGGGGAAAGGAATCTAATAGGTGTAAGAAAGGGCAACGAAAAGCTCTGGTCAGGTAAACTCTGTACAGGAACTGCCACTTATATCAAGAGGGGATAGGACAGGATACCTTCATGGGAAAGCCAAGAAGCCCAAGTTATGCAGCAAGTTGGTGTACCCTTCTTTGGGAATTACCACCACAATGGGTCTGGCACATCCAGCTGCTACCTATAGGGTCACTGCAGCATAGCTCCCCAGTCGCTGAGGGGAGAATACTCCAGGGGATCGCCCTTGGTGAGGCGCCGTGTCCTGAGGCTTCCATGGGGAGAGAGGCTGAACTCCCCATGGGCAAGGGGTACAATTAGGCCTGTGTAAGCCACAAAATAAAAAAGAGGAGATGAAACATCCTATGTCTATGAGAAGTGGACAGGAAAAAAAGACTGAAGGGGCATGGGAGGAAGTCTCTTTAATTAATTATTTAGGAGATTGTTCCTGTCCAATTGAGAAGGGTAGGAGCTATACCCATAGTGGTGCTGCCATTGGATATATCCAGGGAAATATATATATATATATATATATATATATATATATAAAACAGATAACATTCATATCTTGTAATACTCTACTTGAACACTATATCTATATATAAATTTTATTTTACAAAAATACTCTTGGCACTCACCCATTAAAAACTTTTTTCTTGTTTTCTTTGATATCTTTGCCTGGGTGCAAACCTCAGCGTGAATATGTATATTTTTCATAGAAAAAAGGTGCACTCACAGGACTTCTTCCATCAGTGATTTTATTCTAAGTTGTGCATTACATTCGTAATCTTCAATCAACGTTTCGACCCCTAAAGGGTCTTTTTCAAGATCAATATAACAGTGAAATGAACATATATATATAGGTAGATAAATGAAATAATCACTTACCCAACAGGTGTGTGGAGATGAACTCCCGCCCGGCCGCCCGAAACCCGGAAGTGAGTAGGTGCGACCACGTGACTGAGCGTGATGACGCGTGTCGCAAGTGTCGTTGCTAAGCAACGTAAACAAATCCTTCGTGATTATTTATTTTACTACGAGCTCAAAGACAGCTCGAAGAGAGAACATCAAATTGTGTGCCAAGTGCCCAGTGAATTTAAAATAAGTCCTAAACCAAAAGGACACCCAAAAGTTTATAAACAATACCATGAAGAGGAATATATACAATATGGCCATCTGAGACTATAGACTGACAGCATACACCAGCTAAACTGTATACAGATGATACAGCAAGTGCTACTAATGTGCAAATTTATGTTAATCAAAAATAAACCTAATGCCAAATAACTCTGGAAATATAAACTGTCAGAAAAAATATTCAATCTCATAGCACAATGAAATAATTATGTGAAAATCTATACACAACCACTATTATAGAGCAAGCTGAATGTCTATTTATGTTACTAAAAAACACATTATGCAAAAAATTACCATAAAATTAGTGCTGTTATTACTACTAAATTTATAGCAGAATCTAGCCTTAAACATTAGTGAATAACTTATATGGCAATATTATCCATTTTCCTTAACAATAGAGCAACCTGTTATAATAAGGGACTAAAAGTTTATTTTGGAAATCTATATTATACCCAGACTAAACATTTGATACATCTATCCTCCAAATAAATACATTGGCAACATCGGAGATATAGTATCTACTACTAACGTGCACAAGTATAACATGCAATAATTACCAATATATCAGATTCAATAACCAAACCATATTACATTGTTTGATTAAATAACCTGCAGATCAGAATAAATCATATCTAAATCCAAGTAATCATGTCCAATTCATAAGAACATCGAATACGTATTATATTCATTCAAACCTCTGGGAGTAACTGTATCCAGAGCAAAAATCCAATATGCTTCCCTTTGGAGCAATGTTCTAGATCTGTCACCCCCTCGAGGTAAAGGGGGGACATGATCTATAGCTATGAATTTCAATGTGGGAAGTCTGTGTGAAGCCGCTAGGTAATGTTTGGCTACTGGTTTGTCCGTTTTTAAATCTCTAAAGGCTGTCATGATGCCAGATCTATGGCCTCGGATGCGATCACGAAGAGTGAGATCCGTCTTCCCTACATAGGATAACCCGCAAGGACAGGTAATAAGATAAATCACATGATCTGTAGTGCATGTGATGTGATGTGAAATTTTCATTCTTTTCCCACTATGAGGGTGAGCGAACGTGTTCCCAGAGACCATATGACTGCACGTAACACAACCGCTACATCTGTAGCATCCAGGCTTCTTGTGTATTATTTTTCTCTGGTAACTTTGTATGGGATCATTGCGGATTAGAATATCTCTTAGATTTCTATTTCTTCTGTAGCTGATAATAGGTTTCCTGTTGAAAATAGGAGGTAGAAGTTTGTCCGAATTGAGTATATCCCAGTGTTTTTCAATAGATTTACGAATTTGTGTGGTACCTGTATGGTAAGTGAGAGGTAGGTAAATTTTAGGTGGATCTGAGTTAGGTTTAACTTGTATGTTGTTTTCCTCCTGTGTCCATTTCTCAATGGCACGGGATTTTGCTTTCTCCAATGTTTGAATCTGGTACCCTCTTTCTTGAAACCTAAGGGTCATTTCTTGTAGTTGTATTTCTCGTTTTTTCTTATCACTATTATATCGTAAAACCCGCATGTACTGGGATATGGGCAAAGCATCTTTAAAATGTTGTGGGTGATAACTATTGCTTGAGAGAAGAGTATTTCTATCTGTGCTTTTGCGATGGAGTGTGTGACCAAGTTTATTTCCATCTTTATATATGGTGACGTCCAAAAAGGGTATTTCTTTCTCACTGTATACCAGTGTAAATTTAACTGGTGACTTCAGATTATTAAGATGGAGTACCATGTCTTCCAGTTCTTTAGATGGCCCTTTCCATATAATGAATACGTCATCAACAAAGCGATAATAGGCCAGAATCTTGGTCTGAGTTGGTTTTAAAATGTGCCGTTGTTCAAATTGGAACATATAGGCATTGGCATATGAGGGTGCCATAGCCGCTCCCATCGCTGTCCCCGTAAGTTGTAAATAGAATAACTCTTCAAACTTAAAGTAATTACAAGTGAGTGCAATGTCTAAAAACTCCAGAAGGTACTCAATTGGTGGTCCTCTATATTTGTCAGATATCATGAGTATTTCTTTGAGAGCTTCTATACCTCCCATATGGGGTATGATGGTGTATAAGCTTTGTACATCTAAGGTAGCAAGTATTATATTGTCCTGTTCGTGGAACGAAATTTTGTGTAATTTGTTCAATAGATCTTTGGTATCCCGAATACATGTGGGTAGTTCCAGGACACTATCCTTAATATGAAAATCCACATATTTTGCTATAGGTTCAAGCAAACTTCCTCTGGCAGACACGATGGGCCTGCCTGGGGGGTTCTTGGTATCTTTGTGAATTTTCGGGATGGTGTATAATACTGGATGTATCGGATGTTCCACAAATAAATATTTCGATGTTGATGTGTCTACATAACCCATTTGTAAACCTATCATGATATGTTCCTTAATCCTCTTTTGAAATTTAATAGTTGTTTATAAACTTTTGGGTGTCCTTTTGGTTTAGGACTTATTTTAAATTCACTGGGCACTTGGCACACAATTTGATGTTCTCTCTTCGAGCTGTCTTTGAGCTCGTAGTAAAATAAATAATCACGAAGGATTTGTTTACGTTGCTTAGCAACGACACTTGCGACACGCGTCATCACGCTCAGTCACGTGGTCGCACCTACTCACTTCCGGGTTTCGGGCGGCCGGGCGGGAGTTCATCTCCACACACC